TCAAAATATGATGCAAAAGGAAAGAATTGAATAGTTAAAGCACATTATTTCTCAAATCCTCACCCTACTCTTCACAAAACACAGACAGAGAACACTTAGATGCATGAAAGCTTGCTTTATTCTTTGCTATTATAGCTGCCCTGAATAAAAGGCTTTGCTGAAAAGATGAGTTTGAGCACTTTTTTCCCCCCAAAATGTTATCCTTGTATTATTTGGTCTCTTTCTGTATGTCTTCTGTAGAATAAAAAGCTGAAATTGGTATAAATATTCAGAAAGGCATTCCTCATTTTAAATTAATGTGTTGATTCTTGCGTAACTTTATCTGTCCCCTGATTTTTACATTTAGGTTTGTAAATATATCCCTATTTTTACTTTTTGTGATCCCATTCTTCCCAGATTCCTGTTTTTGTAAAGTTGATAAATCAGAACGATTATCAGATTATTGCTGATATTCATGTTGCTATAGCAGAACAATAGCAGAATGGCTTTGACTTTTCTGATGCTTTTTTTCTAAATTATTTATTTTATTGTATGGAAGTTGTTTTTTATGCTATTGAAGGTGATTTCTGTCTTTTACAATTTATATGAAATACCTACATCCCCTCGACATCCTCAGACCGTTCAACCTAACCTTATGTCTTATTAAGCTGTGGTGTGACTGATTCTGGACCATTTTGCTACTCTGTTAACTTTCCCAACCAGTCCCATCCGCAGTTTGATGATGCCGTCATCTGCTGCAGGAAGGTGACTTTTACCTGGAGGATCGGGGGAAGCTTATGTTTTTTTCATGCCTTCTTTGCTGAGATATAATCTTAAAATGGGTTATTATCTGTCAGATAGCCCTCAGGATGTCCAACTAGGGGAGGGCCCTGCAAGATGTGGTGATCAGTCAAACAGGAGAGCATCAGCAGTCTTTCCTGTCTTTGCTTTCTTTCTTTACCTCAGACCAAATTTCTGAGCCTGAACAAAAACAACTTTCTTAGCTGCATTTGATGGGAATCTGACTAGATGAAATTTGTGGGCAATCTAGTGAAGTATTTAAGCAGTGATTGGCTTCATTTCCAAGTAAGATAAAGGATAAGAAAACCAAACACTCAATATATAGTATTTTTTTCTTGAGACATAATTGGAGACATACTTCCCATAGTTTTAAACCTCCATGGAGTGCCAAAAGGCCAGTGTTTACTCCAGTAAACTAATTTAAACAAAGCTGTTAATTGCCAAGTTTGCTTGGTTTCCATTAGGAACTACATGAAAGACAAGACAAAGAAGTATTAACAGAGCTGATAACTAAGGGCATTAAAGCAGAAACAAATCCAGCCCAATTTTACACTCTGTCAGCCACACTTTAGACAACAAAGAGCTAAAGTCAGGCTGAACACACAGAAACCCTGCCAATGGTATTGTTAGGCTGTAATGAGATCAACTGGCCAGTCAGTCTGGAAGCTTTGAAAGCAATTAATTGTTTTTTTTTTAATAAGTACATAGACTGTCTATAATAAGTAAACTGTAAAAACAGATTGACTGACAGAGATCTAACATCAACTAAAACATTCATTGTGAACCAACCTAAGAGCCGAGCGTCTGTCCTCCTCTACTTACTGTATCAGGGTTGGGTTGGATCCAGAAGCAACAGTATCCATGGAGTTTATTTCTATGCACCTGAGCCCAGGAAGGATTTTTGGTCCTTTTAGGAAGTTCTGGTTCTTCTTCAGAGTCCTCTTTCCATGGGAGGGAATGTGGAAAGCCCAGCAGGCATCCTAATCAGATGACTGAACCATCTAAGTTGATTACTTTTTTTGTGGCGGAGCAGCTATCCGCAGATGATAAAGCTTCTCCCACTATCTCTAAATCTGAACTCATCCAACCAACCGGAGGATTAAATCCACAAATGGACACAGTAAGAGCTATTTCAAGACCTTGATGAAAGATCACTGAAATACGTCCTCTCAGCCTGAAAAGCGAAGCTGGGGAACATTTGTGAGCCAGTAGGTAAAAAATAAGAATCCTAAATTTTATGTTGGAGTAGATATTTTCTGGATTAGTCTCTGAACATAAACAATTTGCGTGTTGGCCAAATAATTTTGCATCTGTCTCACCTAACCTACCCGATTACTTCCTTCCATATCTTTTCTTTTTTTTGTGTACCATACATTTTTGAATGATGCTTAGCACAATTGTATTTAGGTATTTATACATAACTATATTTCAAACTAAATTGTCTATATATTTCAAAAAACATACTTGGTCATTGAGGTAAACCCTCCCCAAGCTGACAAATAGGACATAATTCAAACTTGGCCAGGTCCTTGAGTATTGAGCACCTTGTGCTTCTCGGCACTCCAGACATGTTGCAGCTCTGAAATATGGCACAAATGGTGGCTAATGGCTTCCTGGTAGCTTCACGCTTGATCCGTCTCAATTCATAGGAAGTTATTTTGCGTCTTCTTTTTTCAACAAGGTTCTTGCGTCCCTGTAGGCTATTTGCCATGAACCGCCTGATTGTGCAATGATCCCACTTCTAAAGCTTGCCAATTTCCAAACTGCTGCACCCCTATGAAAGACATCTGACAATTTTTGACTTTTCATTAGGCCACACCCCTTCTCATTACAGAGATGCACACCACCTGATTTACTTATTTGCTTTCAAGCCTGCATAGCTTGGAGTAGGACAACATGTATGAAAAGGATGATGTGGTCGAAATACTCATTTGCCTAATTCTGCACACAGTGTATTGGTCTGCTAAATAAGATGGAAAATTTACCTTCTGATCCTCCTCAGATGTAGAAACCCCATTAACACTATAATAGTTGGTAATGGTGTACATGATATCAAAACGTCATGCCGGACACCATAACTAGCTCCTATAGTGTTACTGTGATTGCATAACTCACATGCATCATCAGCAGTTAGTGTTTCATCTTCCTTGGTCTTCATTATTCTGTACTTTTTTAACAGCTCTCATAAGAAAGGGCGCCCCTATCCTTGTCTTTATGACCCGTTTTTCTGCATGTTTCAGGTTTTTAACAGTTTTCAACGACCTGTTTTCAATGAATAGATCGTTGACCAAATTCTGCCAAAAAGAACCAAGAAACATTCTAATTCTTGGACTGAGATGAGCTAGAAACAGGAACAGACCTGAAACCTGAAGGGTTGGACTGAACTGCTATTCTAATTTATGAGTTGGTCCCAGAAATTTCCAATGAAATCATTTAACTTTGGGGTTGTAATGTAAAAAAAAAAAGCCAAAGGGTTGAATAAATCTTCAAAGTACTGCAACAACACTGCCTTTCTCGTAGCAGGTTGTGGGCAGACATAGGAGTCGGCACTCTTTTCGATGTTGCTTCATTGCTGCAGAGATCTGCCACATCCAAACTCAGACCAAAACAAGTGCTCCTTATTTCATTCCATCACCATCCCGGTTGTGGTTGTTTTGTAGCAAAGTTTTTCAGTTCATTTAGATATTTTGCTTGGTTCCAGTTCCATACAGTGGCATATTTAAAGCAGTCTGCAGGCCAAGAAAGTCATCAAAACTAATATAGCATAAAGGTTTCAGATCATCATTAAGTTTAAATATGAGATTTTAGCTTTTGTTTTTGGAACATAGTTTAAGAAAAGAAAAAAAAAAACATCACAGTGGATGTATTTTACAATTTATTGTATATCACAGGTATGAAGAGAATAATTGGTCAGAAAAGGTCTAAAAACTATGAAACACAAACTTTTGTTTTTGTAAAATTTGTAAATCAATTTTCCTAATTGATTTTATAATATATATATATATATATATATATATATATATACTGCTATCAGTCCGATCAGCTAATCCTTTATGCGCTGGCACAGTGTGAGGTAAATCAGCTAGTTACTAGAGGGGCCATCGCAGCAGGATCTGGAACACATATCTGCTGATCCATCTTTAGAGAGCATCAGGACATTCCAGGCTGTTATGATGGAAAAACTGCAAGGGCAAAAAAACAGTTTATGTTGGGTGTTTTTTTTTTTTTACCTGATAAAAAATTAAGTCTCCATCTGCCAAAGATCAATTTTTTCCCCCTCAAAAAATTAAATAGTTATTTGGAAAAGGCTTTTTGTACTTTAATTTGATCCAGGTGAAAAATCTATTTGGTGATCTGAAACATTTAAGAGTGACAAAAAAGTAAAAACAGAAGAGATCTGTAGAGGTGGAAATTCTTTTCAAAACTCTGTATCTTCATATTCTTATTTTACCACAAAAACACAATTTGTTCTGACATTTAAAGAAGTAGTTACCCAAAGAGAAAACTAATTAGTTGTGTGATTCACAGCACATTCCAATAAAAGCTAGAGTAAGTGCAAATAGAGAAATACTGTCGCTGGTGTATATGCTGCTGAAACAGATGAAACTAAATGAACAGAATCCACATTGAGATTGTGTCAGAAGTCATGAACAGATGAAGCCGATGTGTTTATTTGATGCTTGAGCCAGTTTGCAAAAGAATCCAAATCACCACAGCATAACTAATTATTCTATTTACTGATTATTGGCTAAGCACTAAAATATTCCTTCTGTAATTATCGTAATTGTGGCTAGTAGCTCATAACCAAGTACCTAACAGGGAAATGTAACAGATCACAAAACTAAATGCTGTGATTAGACACAGATAATTACACAATCCCAAATTTATGTGCACATGGAGTTTTCAGTTGCATATTGAATATCTTCAACAAAAAACTAATTTTAACACTAAAGTATGGTTAAATCACTTGGAGTTTCAACATCATTTGGTTCAAGAAGGGTGTCAGCTGAGAGAAATCTGTTCCAATTTAAAGCGATTTGAAAGCTATAAGTGTCAACTTATTGTTCGTAGTGTGCTTTAGTCTCAAAATGGTTTGAAAATGACTTTTCATTTATATTTTATGTAAATAACATATTTTATTTACTGCCTTCCTGTGTAAAGGAGGTTGGCTAGTAGCAGTTTTCTAAAAGAAGAAAATGATTCAAGACCAAACTTGAGTCATAACAGAAACTTTATTTAGGTTTTCAGTTTACAAAGTGTCCTGCATCAAATTCATTACAGAACAAACCAGGAACAGAAATAGAAGGCCACGCAGTACAGCCGAATAAAAAATTAAAACCACTTCTTCGGTTGAATGGTGAAATAATGGAGCGAGAGAGGAGAGGCTTTTGGAAGAAACGGAAGCAGAGGAAAGCAGATATGTAAGGAAAATGAAATTATCAAACACAAACCTTCACAGAAGGAGATAATTACACTTGCCACAGCTTTGCATAACGCTGCAGAAATGACTGACATCCTTTACGGGTTTATCATAAAACACAATGAAAAATAACATGGATTATTTCCCCAATTGATTCTCGCTGCGTCGAAACATAACAACTGTGTCTTAATCTCCCAGTAAATGAGCCGCTTTCTCCACTCAGGTGTGAAAGGAGACGCTTACAGCTCCAGCTTACTTCACTCCTACGACGCCACAGAGGACATTCTGTAGCCAAACAGTGTCTGCTGGAGCTGAAACATAAATGAAATAATAAATCATAGATAAAGATGTTGCTGATAAACACCGACGAGAGCAAGATGAATCTCCAGGAAATTGGAGAACGGCGCCCTCTGACCGACGGGAGGCTGCAGCGGGTTCAGAATGCAGATATATCGTTTTTAGGAAGTGGGAGGCTGGAGGGTCTTTGATGTAGCAAGCATGGCTCGCACTTTGGCCATTAGATCCTGAAAGACAGAAAAGGTGAATTTTCAAATTTTATTCTAGAAGTTCTTTAAAGCAACTGCAACCATCCTTTTAAACCTTTTCTAGTGTTTTAAGTTACTCTAATATACCAAGGAAGCTGCAGGACTGGCTAAAGTTTGTTTATACCTGTTTAATGAAGCATAGCAGAATGAAGGAAGGCTCGGAGTGCTTTTCTTTTTTAAATATATTTTTCGTCAGAAAAAGAAAAATGCCCTGTCTGGTATTAAAGCTAAAAGCATCAACAGTTATTGTTCAAAAAAAAAGTAAGGCAGCTTTAAAACTCTAAGAACAGTTTATGTGGCCCCTGAAGTCTTTCTCGCCCACTTTTCATTTATTTTGAATTTTTTATGTTTTTCTAACCAGAACAAAAAGATAAAGACAATCATTACTAAGTAAGTAAAATTAAAAACAACAACAAACAAATCTTATAACCATAATAGAGAAATGGCAAAACACTGGTGTTGGGTTATAGAGAGATGACATTGGAGTGAACTGAACACAGCCCAGAGGTAAACAGAGAACTATATATCTGTTATGTTGTGAAGATGCATAGCTGCAGGATTTCAGGACATCATGAGGATTTATATGACAACAGGCAGCAAAGACGAGCATCTCAACACCGTTTTCAGAATACATGAAGCATAAGGAAGTACCATGACACAGAGCCTGAACCATCTGCCTGCAGAGCAGCAGAAATACGCTGCTACAACTGTTGCAACAGAGATTGATATTGCTTCATCCAGATGACAGTCAATTTGGAGGAGAGGAATAAAGACATTTCTTCTCTGTGGTGGATTTAGGGACGTGACTGTAATTGGGACTAATCATTTACATTTACTGATGCATGTTTATGCAAACTAACAACGTGGGGTCTGCAAGAGACGCGGCCACCACGGCAGCATTTATGGCGCTCTCTGCTGCACTCTGCTAATTATGAATACAAATCAAATAAGAATGAGTTTGGAGTAAATATTGATCATAGCTTTTCTTAATGAAATAATACGATTAATTAAAGGGACTAAATCTAGAGGATAGCATAGCTCTTAGCAAGATATAACTTAAAGCACAGAATAGACACAGGACAGCATTGTCCTGCCAGAGCGGCTCTGAGTCGGATTTCATCTCATTCTATTTAATGATCCTTAGGAGGTTAACAGGATGGATTTAAGTTTGTTAGAAGCGTGCAAATCAGTGTTACATAGATTTTCTTACAACCCTTTGGGCTGAAACAAAATTGACAACAAAAGTAGAGTACATCAGGAGATGCTGCTTAGTTTGGGCCAGCAACATGAAAAAACAACACTTTCTTGTAAAAAGAGAACTATCAATATCCTAATCCATCACACAATAGCATAAGTATATCTTGCAGTATCACATTCTATATATTGTAGGAATAAGCATTACTATCTAGCTCAAATACCTACAAAATTCTATTTTTGAAAGACAAAAAAGTCAAAATTATTTATATGAATAACAAATTGCTTCTGATTCTGTCAAGAAATGTATTTCTGATTGAAAATACATTAATCTCTGAGATTAGGAGGAAACTGAAAATGACTCAACATTATTTTAAATTCACCATGTTATTTGTGCTTTACAACAGAAATGATAAAGTCTTTGATTTGTTTTAAAGTTTTTCTTAGATTGATCTGTTTTGACTTGTTTGTTATAAGATGAAGCCATACCTACGCTGCACCAACAAACATTTCCAGTGAATTTCCTTCATCAGTGTGTTTCGGATTTACTTTTGCGGATCCTCTATAATTTTCTCCACAAGCCCAATTGATCTGCAATCAGAGCCTGAACCAGTGCAACACTCTAGAGTGATACGTAAACTAATTACCATCACTTAAAATAACTGACCACAGGGATTAGGCTGATGTTGTAATGTTTTTTCCGTTGTCTTTGCAGTGCATTACAGCTCCTCAATGAATAGTTATTCATGTATAATTAATCAAACAACTCCCTGAGGCGTGAAAAAGCTGGTAGTAACGCTGCTTCCACAGGGAATCAACTAAGCAGCTTGCAGTGGCCTAAGCTCACGGTTTTGTTTTTGTTCCAACATTGAATGGATAAATGAAGCCATCAAATTGTGAGAAACATGTTTGTCAGAGCAGAGCGACGCAGGAGGTTCTGGCCCAATGCCATAGGCTTGGTAAAATGGACAATATAAAAGAACAACCATGTATGTCTTTTGTTGCGGCGCAGTGGAGTCCATCTCAAATCTGCTGGTAAAGGTCAGAACACCCACTAAGCCAACAGAATGGTAATGTAAAACTTCTGTGCAAACTCAGGGGGGGATGTCAAAAAAATATGTTTTTAAATAGAAAATAAAATGTTCATTTGCAGCAAAGTTGCAGCTGTAAGCAGAAGAATTAAAAACAGGAGCAGAAAAGCTGCAGAAAGTTGCTTTCCATTCCCCTTCGGTTTCAGGTAGACTTTTTTAAATCCTGCTGACTGGCAGCCAAATGCTTGCTCTGCAGAAAAGAAAGTGTTAATTTGCATTGCATCCCATGAGTGATTCATACACGCATGGAAAGAATTCCACCCCTGAACCCACCTGACAGACTAGACAAATTAACAGCTGTAATCACACGGGGGAAGGAGCCGTCACATCAAATTACTCAAAAGGTCATTTTTTTTTCTTGATGTGTCTGAGCAAACAAAGGCCAACGACACACCAGCTTCACCGAATCGAGGAAACCAGGCTCCAAATGGGAATCGCTTCTTCTCAACAACAAATATATCAAGAAACGAGGCGGTTAAATAATTTAGGATCAAATGTAATATTAAATTCCTGTAACTTGGAACAGCCGCCATGATTCGAATGAGAGAGAAACTTTTAATGAATATTTCACGCTCATTTCACTCAATGTTTCTAATACATTTCAATTAGATGTAGATAAAGAAATAAACTAATAAAGTTTAATAAACCTGAGAAAAACCAATCCTGATGGATTGTTAAGAATTTATTCAACTTTTTATCTTTTTTTTTATAAATCCAGTTTGGGTTTTTATACGTTAAAGCTTTGCAGTCAATTTATTAGGCATACGTGTCAAATGCTTTTGAACACTGATAGCAAATAAGCCACTCAAGCTGAACACACTGAGCATCAGAATTAGAAAGAAAGGGGATTTAAAGTGACTTTGGTTAGTGATGGGTGAAAAAAAAATCTAATTTTGATGTAAAGCGATGTCAACATAGGCAATTATGAATCGCTTAACAAACATCAAGACTCGATTATGTTAATTTAGACCTAATTGTGAGGAAAGCGTGAGGCGGAACATCAAGTATGGCACCCAAACAATCTAAAGGTGAACACATAAGGTTACATGCATCACATCCTTCACTCTGTGGAGGGAAAACAGGGAAAATGACTTGGACAAAAGCCAAGAAAAACTAAATCGACATGAGGCACAATATCAGAACAGTCAGCCTGGAAGCAGAGCTAAAACTGATCTTTTTACCTGCTGCCTTAAACCAGAAGACCATCTGGTTGTCTTTACTGTTCAAAAGTAAAGACAACCAGATCAAATCAAGAGCTGAGCAAAGCATCTTTCGTTTCCACAGACAAAATGCCTCAACGTAAAAAAAAGAAAAAAGAAAAACAGGATGGATAAATTTGAAGTGACGGAGCGAGAGCTGAATGTGTTGCATATGAAAAAGCACAAACAACCAAAAAATGAATTTAAAAGCAATAAAGTTGCTGCTTACTGTAAGAATAGGATCTGTTTGAGGAGTAGAATTAGTTACTTGTTACTCAGGAAGATCTAGAATATTAATATCTGGTACAAGAAAAGCTATTTTTAAATGAACACAGTCTAATCATATATCATTACTATAAGCTAGTGTTGTGGGCTGAATGCATTGTTGCAATCAAGGATGTCAATAAAGCTGGGTAATTAGTGTAGTTTCAATGTTATTTGGGAGGAAAATAAAGATTATGATAAAATTGTGATAATTATAACCTAAAGTATGACAGTATGATTTCAACTGGCTTTATTTCATTGATATCTGTGTTTAAAATATAAAACCAGAAAATATATATTCTATTATTATAGCCTAAAACATCCCTGAATACTGAAAACTGTTACGGTTCATATACCCCAGCACTTTTCACCACTTTACTATGTCTAGACTGAAGTGCTTTCAATGTATCATGTTTAGACTTATTGTGCAATTTCTTCAAAATCAAAAGAAACAGCACCTTGCTTCTCAGTTAACACTTTTCTCAGCCACAGCTGCAAATTCGTAGTTTGATGTCTGTTTATTTATTTATTTATTTTTTACTAAAAGCGTGATATTTTCATATATTGTGAGTGATGGTCCAACTGCTTTTCAGAAAATAAAAAATATAACCCAATGGGTCTGACTGCATGGATGGATGGTTTATAAAACATCAACAAAAACAAATCAGAACAAACTAAGGGGTAGAGTAGTAAGGAGTGATCTGATTAAAAAACAACAAAGCAATGGTAAACAGGTTTAAAGGTGGGCTTATTATCTTCCAATATTAGAAGAAAAAGTTTAAGAAAACCGAAGTAGACTAGGAAGGCTGTGATGCAACAAAAAGCAAGCAGGCAGGAAAGCAGAGGTCATTACGAAGATAAATAAGGCTGAATTATTCAAGAAATGCTTGTAAAACCTCACAGACTGGATAAGAAGATGTAAGCCGTTTAGTACCTAAGCATGTTTGCAAAATGTTCCTCAACAAGTTTTTTGGTGTTAGTATGTGGTAATGAAGGCAAGAACAGAGGTCAGGAGAGCTAGTGAGTACAAAGAAGAAATAAGATCATGTTTTTGTTTTGATGAGAAGGAAACGTTAAAAAACAGGAGAGAGACTGTAAGAGGCGGTAGATTCTCTCTGAGTGTTAAAAAGAGTTTAAGAAGCACCTAGGTGTACTGAATAACACTGTTGACCTCCATTATATCAACAGCAAATGCTTTTTAATTTTGGTACACTGGAGCTTCTCAATTTGTTTTTAGAGGAATACTTGTTTTCCTCTTCAACAAACAGAGGGGAATTAATATATCTTAATAATTGTACTTACACTAATCTTTTGTCAAGTACATTTTCAAATCAAATAATCTACTAATCCTTAAGCCGCAGTTTTAAATGCAAATATATAAACATATACCGTGAGGAAAATAAGTATTTGAACACCCTGCTATTTTGCAAGTTCTCCCACTTAGAAACCATGGGGGAGTCTGAAATCGTCATTGTAGGTGCATGTCTTCTGATAGAGACATAACCAAAAAAAATTAATAAAATAATATAATAAAATAAAATAGCAATAGATTATTTTTTTTAACTATTTATGTATCATACAAATATGTTTACATATGATCTGCAAATAAGTATTTGAAAACCTGTCTATCAGCTAGAATTCTGTCAGTCTGCCTTCAAAATGTCCACCTCCACTCCATTTATTATGCTAAATTAGATGCACCTGTTTGAGGTCGTTAGCTGCATAAAGACACCTGTCCACCCCATTCAATCAGTAAGAATCCAACTACTAACATGACCAAAACCAAACAAAGAGCTGTCCACTAGACACTAGAGAAAAACAAATTGTACACCTCCATAAGGCCGGAAATGGCTACGGGGAAATTGCCAAGCAGCTTGGTGAAAAAGTTGGGGCAATCATTAGAAAATGGAAGAAGCTAAACATAACTGTCAATCTCCCACAGACTGGGGCTCCATGCCAGATCTCACCTCGTGGGGTCTCAATGATCCTAGGAAAGGTGAGAAATCAGCCCAGAACTAAACGGGAGGAGCTGGTCAATGACCTGAAAGAGCTGGGACCACCGTTTCCAAGGTTACTGTTGGTAATACACAAAGATGTCATGGTTTGAAATCATGCATGGCATGGAAGGGTCCCCTGCTTAAACCAGCACATGTCAAGGCCCGTCTTAAGTTTGTCAATGACCATTTGGATGATCCAGAGGAGTCATGGGAGAAAGTCAGATGAGACCAAAATAGAACTTTTTGGTCATAATTCTTCTGTTTTTGGAGGAAGAAGAATGATTAGTACCATACCAAGAACACCATTCCTACTGTGAAGTATGGGGGTGGTAGCATCATGCTTTGGGGTGTTTTTCTGCACATGGGACAGGATGACTGCACTGCATTTAGGAGAGGATGAGTGGGGCCATGTATTTTGAGATTTTGGGGAACAATCTCCTTTTCTCAGAAAATAGAAGATGGGTGGAGGCTGGGTCTGCCAACATGACAGTGACCTGAAGCACACAGTAAGGATAACCAAGGAACGGCTCTAGAAGAAGCACATCAAGGTTGTGTCATGGCCTAGCCAGTCTCCAGACCTAAACCCATTAGAGAATCTTTGGAGGAAGCTCAGACTCCGTGTTTCTCAGCAACAGCCCAGAAACCTGACTGATCTAGAGAGAATCTGTGTGAAGGAGTGGGCCAAAATCCCTCCTGCAGTGTGTGCAAACCTGGTAAAAACTACAGGAAACTTTTGACCTCTGTAATTCAAACAAAGGCTACTGTATCAAATGTTAACATTGATTTTCTCAGGTGTTCAAGTACTTATTTCAGGGTTCCTACAAAATAAGGCAAGTTAAATTCAAGACTTTTTAATGCCACTTGAAATAAAAATTTAAGACCAAATTCACAAGAAACACAAGAAAAACCTGCTTGCGACAACTTAACCCAAAGGTTTATTTTAACATAAACAACTGCACTGTTTCAAATTTTGAAAAGCTTCCCATACAGGAAGAAAGCTAAAAACACA